CTACTACTGCTACTGCTACTCCTCCTACAACAACAACAACAACTAGTACTACTACTACTACTACTACTACTACTACTACTGCAACTACTACTACCTGCTGCTGCTCCTTCTGCTGCTGCTCCTTATGCAGCTACCACCATCGCTAGTATGTGCAACCACATCAGCAACCCGCACTTTGATTACATGTAGCTCCCACCGGACGACAACAGCAACTGTTGCGATTTCTGTTGCCTGCAACTGCCCTTCATGCTGTTGCAAAGCACTACAGTACTGCAGCGACCCGCTGCCAGTGTCACAGCTCCGGGCACGCAAGCACCCCCCACGCGGCCGACGAGTGCCCCCGGCAGGCCAAGCGACGGCTGGAGACGGTGCAGGTGGAACGGCAACAGCGACTGCAGGAGGTCCTTGTCATCAGCTGCTTGAAGATGCAGGGCTAGGTGGATTTCGGCGCAGAAGCGAAGGAACTACAGCCAGGGTTAGGTATAGCTCCAATTAGCCTTCAAGTGGTGCTTGCGTGCAGATGGGCTATGTGGTTTGGACAGATTTCCAGAGATTGATGGCGCGGCACAAACTCCGAGATAGGCTGACAGATGTGCGACATAAGTGCTGATCTTGGGTCTTCTCCGTTTTAGGACTTCAGCTTCTACAACATTCCGAATGGTGTCAAAGCATAGTTCATAATTATACTTGCGGTGTGCGATCCCGCCAGTTCAAAAGGCTCAGCGCCAGCTGTCTGCGACATGCGCGGCGGCGGAAGAAAGGGCCGCCAATGCCCACCAACGCCGCGAGGTGGGATGGCTGCAGTCCGGGATGGCTGCAGTCCGGCCACCTCCGGCCCCCCATCCTCCCCACTGCATGATAGGCCGAGAGCTGCGGGAGTTACCTCGAAGACAGACTTGCAGACCTATGGGTAGTACGCATAAGAACAAGCGTGAGAATATGTCATGTGACATAGCATCGCAGCAACAACTTTTGTGGAATTGGTGGCAGTAACTTTTGCGACAACATGTTATATGCAATATCGAATGTATAATATATAAGATTACATATACCACATCTAATTTAATGTAATGTATAGTTCCAATATCTAGTACCTATTATCTAACATTTGATCTGTCATATTTCAGACCTAAAATCCGTATCTGATATCGAATATTTAATTTCTAATATACAATATAGAATATGTGACATATAGTGTATAATCTATACTCTACAATATACAAAGTGTAAAACATATTTTTATGCATGATATACAATACGAGTACATATCATACAATATATACAATTTAAGGTCATATTCATTACATGTTATATAATACGAGTGCACAAGTCATATAATCTCTACTATCTGTGTTCGGAACAAGCGCCTCGCTCTGGCTCGCACACCAGGCAATTCTTCAAGAACGAGAGGTCGCTTTGGAGGCGCAGATGTCAGGGTCCGAGGTTTTCAAAAGCACCGGTTTCGGGGCACTAAGGCCACCAGGGGTTCATGATGGCTAGAGGGGGTTTAGGAAGGTGTTTGGAGGTCCTAACAAGTCTAGCAGCCACAGACCTGAAACTTCTGCTCTGAGACTGCAAGGTTTTGGATCTGGATCCATGCATTGCCTTGTAGGCTTAGGTTTCCGGAGGTTCGATGCCTTTGACATCTCTCGGAGGCGCCGTTGAAAGCCGTGAAGGAGGCGGAGACGGACAAGCACCAGGCGCACCGGCACGGACATATGCAGGCTTGGAAGAAATCTTGCATCGTCTCCTTTCGAGTCCCTCTGTGCCGGATAAACTTAAATAACGCTAGCACTGCCAACTCCATTTGTCTCGTCGCATGGACTTAAAAGCAAAGACATGAGCATAAACATGGCTGCATGAACGAAGCAAGCTGCTGCGACCCGCATGTGCTCATACATTGGCACCTGCGTGCGTCTATGTTCAAAGGGAGACGTCTTCGCACAAGTTAGCCTTGGTGTACTGGCAAACGACGCGACACAGTTAGTACACCCGGAAAGAACATGCAAGCTTGGAGCAAAGCCTTGCCTAGCCATACATAAACGGATCTTTTCATCTCACACACGCACAAGCGGAAACAGCGTGCATGCACTTACATGTTCTTGTATCCATGTGCTTCATTTGCACATGCACATACGCACATGCACACGCGCACTCATGCACACATGCAGCTATGTATACGCACACATCACAAACAGGCATATCTCTGTGTACACTATCCATCCATCCATCCATCCATCCATCCATCCATCCATCCATCCATCCATCCATCCATCCATCCATCCATCCATCCATCCATCCCTGCATGCATTCATGCGTGCGTGTGTGCGTGCATGCATGTATGCACGATGCATGTATGCTCATGCAGACAAACATGCCCACATATGAGCGCCACATACATACGTAGTTGCGTACCTATGTACATACAGGCAAGAAGCACGTACGTACATTCATACGTAATACAGTCATGCATGCAAAAATGCTTACATGCAGCAGATGCACCCATATGTGCCATATGCGCTGCACATATTGTACCTTGATCGTTGTGATGCTCAGGCAAGAGATGCTAAGGCTTTCCCCAGCTGCTCTGCCCAAAACACTTGCTCGGATCCCTGCATCCCCTGTGCGACGCATGGCTGAACAGTGCAGTGCGCCTGGCTGCGCAGTGGAGGTGGTGTATGCTTTTCAAGCCTTCAACTGGTTGGTCCGAGAAGACATCCTCGTGCTGGAATGCAGCTCCTCGGCCGAGCCGAAGACGGTCCCATGGGCTTACACTATTCCGCACAGGGGCTTGTGCAAACGTCTCTTGCAGGATATCTGTGACACGGCCCAGCCAGAGAACACGTCATGTGCACTCCTTCTTGATGAAGTTCCGCAGTCAGAAGCTTGCCCGGAACATGTGGTCGAGCTGTCACGGTGGCTCTTTCGTCTCGTGGGCTGTCGGCGCCTTATGCGCGTCAACCTGAACAACTTTCAGAGGCGATACAACTTTCTAGGAACTGCCTCGCTCCGTGGCTTGCCTTCGTATCCTGTCGAAATCCTGGATGGAAAGATCTTTCTTGCAGGGAAGGTCAAACCGGACAGCAAGGCCCTTAAACAGCTGAACATAACGAACATTGCAGGTTTGGGGGTCCAAGAGCACAGCTCAACGTTCAGAAGCTATGTGGGCTGCCAGTTCTTCCCCGTGAAGAGCACAAAGCAGCTTAAGTTGACCTTAACCGCAGTCTTGCAGTTTATGCGTCGGTCACTTGAGGAACATGGGCGGATTCTGATACTTGGAGATCCGGCAGACGCCAGCGCGCGCAACCACGCTACCGCCTGCGTGGTGGCGTTTCTCATGCAGGATCACCAGCTTGACTTTGAGGAGGCCGTGAAGAGGATTCCTCGACAGCTTTGTGGAGTAAGCCTGGACAATCAATTCGGCATTTGTTGGCAGCTGCAGAACAAGTCTTGGAATTTCGGCAGCATCCTCTTGGAAGTGTATGCGTTATCGGGCCAGCACGTGTGCGCTCTTGATGTTGAGCCTTTCGTGTCTGTGAGGGACATTAAGCGTCTGGTAGAAAGAGAGACGGGAGTTTGCCACTTCATGCAACGTTTGTTGGTCGGGGAGGCTGAACTTGATCAAGACCATTGGGAAGTGGTGGCTCGAGACTTTTATGCATCTGGCGCAGACACGAAGTACCAGTTGACGTTGCACCTGGTTCGCTGCGAGGGAGAGGTTTGGGACGGGCTTCGAGACTTGTTGGAGACTCTGGTGCAAGAAAACTGGAGAAACCGACCCTTAGACACAGCCTGGTGCGCTACTAAGCTCAACCGCTGCAAATCGGAACTTCTGGACCAGGGCAATCAGGCAACTTTTGTTCCGATACCTGGCATGTTCGGCGGCATCGAGGTGGCATGGGAGATGGAGGGACAAGGCCGAGAAGTTCTAAACGTGACGGCGTCCAGCAGAATGGATTACAACTTCAGGGAATGCTACATCGTCTCGTCAGAGGGATTCAGGAAGGTGAAGACGTCCCGCACTTGAAACCACACCTACGATCCAGCATTGTCCAGACAAAACTAGTCCACTAGTCGCTTTGCCGTCTTTGGCGGGTCTTTGGTCATCGTGCTCGCATCCGGCAAAAGTTGAACTGAAGTCTTGATTGCTGACCGAACAAAAATCCAACCCCGCAGAGCTACGAAACCTCCCTGAGTCACCTGACCACATGCAAACTGAGAACGGGGGCCCGTGGGGTATGCCAGGTCTTGAGATTTCGGGTTGTCTTTTGGGGTTCCTTTGATTTTTGCATCGTCCACGCTACTGATGCTTTTTGGCTGACGGCCAGGTCGAGGTGGAGGAGGAGATCCGCGGTTTGGAGGCGGCCCACTTGGCACTGTCTCCGGGAAGTGTGAGCTGCTGCGTCCCTGCCCAACCTCCGCGACCTTCCACTGCCTCATTCTCCTCCCGTGCAGAGCCCTAAACCGTGAACCCTACTTCCTAAACCCTGCTTCGCGACTCGCTCAGCCATGCAGGAGGCAAAGCAACCCTAAAGTCCTAAAGCCAGTGCAGGAGAACCGGCGGCAGATTCTTCAAGAGCTCGAGGCAACGTCGACAAAGCTGGCCCAGGCCAGGGCCCAGGGGGCGCATTGAGACAGTTTTGTGTTGGAAACGGCTGATGCACGCCTAGACGGTGTCAAATCCAGAACCCTGGATGAACTGAAGTTAGATCTTGAGGTAGCTTGCGCAGATGCCACATGTTCCGGGGCGCCTTGCTGATTACTCAAATCTTTACTTCGGCCTCATGCCTCGTCTGGCTTCAGGCGCGTGACAGCCGCATGGCACTGCTGCAGCAGCATGGGGAGGCTCCATGCCGAACAGAAGCGGTTTCAAGCCCCCTGCAGTTGTCAGAGCCCATGGTGGCTCTGAGTCCCAACTCCAGGAGTGAGGGTTCACTTTAGTCCTCCAATGGAGGTGACTGCCAAGTACCGGCAGCGGACCACCCAGCTGGAATCCGAGCTTCAGGACGGGTTCCATTGCGCCGCAGCTCATTGCAGCCCACTTCTCTTCTTTTTTGGCAAGATTGAAGAATGCGTCGCGATTGTAAGGTCAGAGGCATAGTCCCAGCTATCCCGTCTCGATGCTCGAGGGAAAAAATCCTAGATTGTAGGTGGCCCTCGCAGGACTTGCGGCCGTCGAGTTTCTACAAGGCCGGCTAACTTGAAGTTGAGTTGTCTGAGGCAGAAAAGCTGCTCTTTCTGTAGTGGCTGCGGCTTTTAACTTTTTGCAGCCTCTTTGCAGCCTCTCCTGCCGCTTCGGTCGCTTTAGCTGCCGTGCCGGCTGCAGTCGCAAATCTTCGCTGGGTGTTGGCATGATCCGCCTTCTCTCCGTGCCCATGGTAATGTGGGGTAGCACGATGCATCAAAGTCTCGTGTTTAGTTGTAACCGAAAGCCCTGCCATGCCTTACGCCGTGGTTTTGTATTTGCAGGTACTTCTTGCGAAGCCACATTCGCAAGTAGAAGCCAATCTTGTGTTCGGAGGTTTTGTCGCTCCGTGCCACCAGCATGACCGAAGGCCTGTGCCGTTGGGACAGATGCAGAGGGACCTTCAGAGGGTGGAGACTGGAGGGGTCTAATCTCAAGAGCTTCGGGGCCCGATCTCTCTGAATAAAAACCCCCCGAGAAGACTTTTGGCACATTCAACGAGGGCTTTCCGATCTGATGAACGAAAGATGCCGACAGTCTCAGGTCCCAGTTTCCTTTGGCATCTGCAGTCCAGGCCCTCCTCACCTCCTCCAAAAGGTTTCCTTGCAGTAGCAAGTCTCAAGGGTTCATGGGTGGCTTGCTAGGCTTTGGGCTTTGGCGGCTGGGTAAATAGATGCTTGGTGAGAATTGTTTCTTAGCTTTGCGCAGTCCTGCAGCCGGCTTTGGCCCAGGTTCCTCCGGCGCAGTCCCGATATCGTTAGAATCCTTCTCAATTCCTGGATCCTTCCCCCGGTATATGAGAGTTTCAGAGGAGAAGGGCCTGACACACTTTCGCATCTCTCTGCATCTCTCTGCTCAAGGCGAGCTAGTGGCAGCGCTGAAGCGCAGCACCGAACGCTGGGGTCAGCTCCAAAGCCGTTTCGCCACGGCCCGGCGCATCGTAGGTGATGGGTTAGGTTTCTGTCTTGGGCTTGCAGTGCCTTGCGTTGAAAACGTATGTTTAAGTTGGCATGCGCGCGCACACATGCATCTGACAAAGGAGGCAAAACCAGTAAAAGCAACATTCGCGCTCGGACAGTGCTGGTTGTGCTGGTCCAGGTGGTCTACTGCTGTCTTTGATTCCTTTTTTGGACTCCTTTTTGTAACGTCCTACGACGGCAACCCGCGAAACTAGTCCGTGGAAAAGGCTTTCTCGGACTTCGTAACCCTACAATCCTCGCATTGAACATTAGCCCAACATGACGATGCAGGCGGGCAAGGAGCGTGCCCAAAATATACTCGCTGAGTTGAAGAAGCACGAAGAAGCAGTGGCAATGCAGGTGGGGCTTGCCGCACAATCATGGCATTTCAGAGCGAGCACTGTCATACCCTGCCGGGGTCGTAGGCTTTCAATGTGGACCTCAGTAAGCACGACCACAGCTACGGCTTCTGGTGTGGCAAAGCATCTCACTAGTCAAGTGCCGTCGGAGCTTAATGCGTCAAAGTTCGGTTACAAGGTTTAAACCTTCGCAGTTTGCAGTCTCTCGCAGCTACATGGTTCGTCACCGAAGCAATGTAAGGTTCTGAAACACCGAGCTAGAGCGGAGATATTGCGTTCACTACCTCCAGGGCCTCCCTCCATTTGCACAACCTCTGCATCCGACCATGCGCAAGGCAGGCGAACTGTTGCAAAAGCACGTGCAGCTTGAGCGGCTTGTCATGCAGAGCCCCACTGGCTGATGGGTGCGGTTCGGGCTAACGCAGGGGGTTTTGTCTGGAAAGCGCACGTCTGTGTACAGCACGCAAACGAACGGGGGAGGTGGTTTCATAGAGCTGTATAACGTGTTCACATATCACTTATCTAAAGCGGGTTGCGACATGCTTCCATCCACCCATCCACTCCGTCCAGCAATCCATTCATTCACCAATCATCCCGCATGCATACTTACCTGACGTTGCTTGCTTTGCCTTGCAATACATGACATTGGTTTACGTTGCTTCGCATTACATCACACCACGCTTCGCTCCACTACACTACACCACAGAGCAATACATTGCCACAGCACATGGCACTATATTATGTGTGGCTACAGGTGGAGGGAATTCACTGATGGTACGGATGTAACCCTGCTTAGTGATTGGTCAGCACTGCAGGAGGCCAAAAGTGCATGACATTATGTTGTCTACTGTATTGTATTCTATTCTAATTCTGTTCTGCTCTATTGTGCTATATTAAACTCCATCCATCCAGCCAGCCAGCCATCCATCCACATTCGCAGACTTTTCGCACATACACATGCACACACGCATACTCTCTGTATGCGCATGTGTATTGTGTATGTGTATATAGCACATACATAGGCACGCATGTGCATACATGTGCTGAAGCTGCCAGGCTTCTCTGCTTCGAGGCAGCTGGCCGCGAGGTTGGCGAGGCGGTGGGGTGACCAGGCCGCATCTTTAAATTGGAGTACATTGAGAGTTTAGGCCTCAGGGTCTTAGGCTTTTTGTTTTTTGGTAGGGGGTCATGAGCTTTAGGGTTCATTGCAGTGTAGGGCTGTTAGAGCTGTCTGCTTTTTCCGTGATTCAGGATGAGGGTTGGGGCGGGCATGTGCAGGGCTTTCGTTTGAGCCTTGGGGTCATATGCCGATATGCTTTGGTTTCAGCCTTGGGTTTTTCGTTGATCTTCCAAGGTTCTGGGTCTCAGGGTTTCGGGTCGTAGTGTGGCGGTCTTCGCAGCAAGTTTAGGGAGCCCTGAACCTGCAAAGCACAGCAACAAGAATGTCCCAAGGAGTCTGCTGGATGTTGCCCGTGCCCGTGCGGACCTCATGGCACGGGGGCTGTCCGCAGAGCTCGAGGACGCCACCAGATTGTCAGGCTTTGAGCCTATAGTATTGGGGTTTTGTCAGGCTTCAGGGAGTTTTGTAAGTTTTTACGGTTTAGGCAAGAGAAGGCTTGGGGCCAACATCGTTTGGGGAGGCCGTTCCCGCCGACATCGTCTGGGGAGGCCATCTTGTGAGCACAATCAGGTTTCGGGTGTAGGTATCTGCACTGCTTCGGGTTTCGGGGTTCTGCCACAAGTTTAATTTACAGTAACCGGCACATCTTACACCTGTCGGAGAGAACTCTGTGGAAGCATGTGCGCCTCCTCGACACTTTTGAATTGTTTTAAGGCCAGCAAGTTGTTGCCAAAGGTTTCAGTCGAGCTTGACATGCCTAGTCTTGTATACAAGGCACGCTGTGTGAGATCACCACCACGATTCTGGAAGGACGTCTACTCGATTGCTGCGGCACCGAGGTAGAAGCCTTGGGGGCGTCCAGGGAGATGTGATGCGCAAACACCTTGACATGCGCGCGCGCACGTGGAGTGGGTGAGAGTCATAGATCGTCTCCCTGCGCACGGAAGACTTCGCCTTCACCCCCAGGCGTCGCGACATGAAGCAGCTCCGCTCTGCTTTGGCCGTGGTGGAGTCTGCCTTTCAAGAGGTGGGCCTTCATGCTCTGAAGGAATCTACTAGACTTAACCTAAGGCATGCAGAAGTTGCACAGTCCAGCAACTGTGTGTGTGTGTGTGTGTCTGTGTGAGTTGATGATTTGACATGGGCATGCTTACTGCTTTGTTCATGTCAATGACTTCGAGTCGGAGTAGCTTTGGGTCCGCGCGCAAGTTCCAGTGCAGAGTTCCGGTCCCTATAAAGCTAAGACTGCGTGCTCTGGAGTGGCATGAAGGATAACTCTGCAGCCACGGAGACTCGCAGCCGGCGTAGAAAAGCCCTTTGCTGCCTCCCTTTGCCGTCATGGCCATGGCAAGCTTCGCCCCTTTCGACATGGAGGCGCAGAACCAGAGGTACGACTTCCAGGGCATCGGTGAAAAGCAGATGCGTCTGGGCTTCATCCGCAAGGTCTATGGAATCGTCGCATGCCAAGTGGCCGCCACGGCCCTTACTGCTGCCTTCTGCGCAGGACCTCTTCGCTCGACCGTCGTTGGTTTCGTCGTTCACTGGCCCTCCGCATTCAAGTGGGGATCTCTGTTGGCGACCGGCCTGGCGTTGCTTTTGTGCCATGTCGGCAAGAACTCTTACCCGCTGAACTTCTTCGGCCTCGCTTTTCTCACTGCCGTCATGTCCTTGGATGTCGGCGTGATGGCCGCAGTGGCTAGTGCCATGGGAATGGGGGCCTGTGTTGCCCAGGCCGCAATCATCACCGCCTTCCTGGTGGCAGGGCTGACGATTTACACCTTCCGCTCCAAGCGCGACTTCTCCTTCCTTGGGGCTGCTCTCTGGCCGCTGATGTTCGGGCTCTTTGCCTTCGGCCTCTTGTCCTGCTTCTTCCCGTCTTTGCACACCGGGATCCTTGGGCTCGTCGTCTCCTTCTTCGGTGCAGCCATCTTCTGCGCCTACCTTGTCTACGACACTTGGCGCATCGCCAACGAGCTTCAGGTGGACGATTATGTGGAAGGTGCCATCCAGCTGTACATGGACATCATCAACCTCTTCATGTACATCCTTGACATCCTGATGCAGCTGAGCAAGGGCAACGGGGAGTAGGTGCCCACACTAGCACCGGTGAGCAGTGAGTTTTCCGGATGCCACCTGCAACGTTTGTCTCGGACGGGTCAGGCCAGCCAGCCACAGAGCGACAGACCCACAGACAGACATGTGTGTGTTGACGTTAATCTGTTTAGGCCTTGGCCCGGTGCCGCAGTTGCATCGTCGTGCAGCCCGAGACCTTAGGCAAAAGCGCACAGACAAAGTGTTGGGCAGTGGAGCTCGAGGTCCGGGAGCCTGTTTGTAGCACTTAGACCGAGACGTGAGATGCGGCATTTCCTCCTGGAACTTCTTGTGCCTTGCCCCTGTACAGTCTGCACCGTTGGCAGCTACACAGTGCGTGGTGCAGTCCTATGCGCGGGCTGTTCGAAACTAGGGTGTCGGTAGCTGGAGCCAGGTTTTGATTTTAACATCCATTTGTATCTTGCAGCGTGGCATTGTCAAGTTGGGCACCAAGCCACCTGCGCAGCGGTGCTGCCCTGTTTTGGAACTGTGGCATGACAGTACGGTGAGATCAAGAACAGAAATTGCAGCACTGTTGCCGGTACTGTGTATGTACCAGACCCCTGCTAGCACAGAGCAAGCAGAAAAAGACTCCTTGCCCGAAAGCCTGTGATGCATCTGGATAGTTGAGTATTCTACTCGTACCTGATGGGCGATCGTCCGAGCTTAACGTCCTGATTCTGCTCCACACCAGCGTGGCAGCAGTCGCAAGCCTGCAAACCGTGATTGATACGCTCGCACCAGAAACAGAGAGCAAGAAGAAAAGGGGCGCCAACAAGATGCCGCGCATAGAAGGCACAGAACTGATACATGTGGGAGGAATATGGGCGCATCAGTTCCCGAGTGTACACCTTGAATTCAAGCAACCATCGAAACCACATAACTTGAGCTTCGAAGCTTGAGAAGTCTAAAGTCCAAAGTCTAGCGCGCAAGCCTCGTTTAACCGCTTACTCTTTGGGCATGGTGCCTGAAGCCACGGAAGGCATCCACCTTGTGGGATTCGTCCGAGTCGGCGTCGGGGCCGGTGGCCAAGGCCAAGGCTGAGACTTGGCGCAACAAGTACTATTCCTTGCTGCGACTACTACATCAACAACGGCTTCTGCTGCAACTGCTAACCGTCACCACGGCCAGCACAGCGAGGGGAATGATATGAACTGCTAAGACTACCACTCTATCAACACTGGCTGGATCGTGAGGACCAGGCAGCTGCTGTTGTCCCTCAACTAGAGGTGCGAGCCTCAGAATCATCTCTGGCCCTGCATGACACGCATGACCTGTACTTGGGCAAATAAGGGCCCAACAGTTTCTGGTCGTCTAAAACGGCTATGGCTAAGCTGGACTTGCTGCGGCTAGGGCTGTGGCTATTGTTGCTGCTTTTCCTCATAGCAGCAGCTAGCATGTGCGCAAACCACGAGCTCAAAGGACATTGATTTAGCATCCGGGGCCCGAGCTTTTCATGTTCAGAGCCCTTCATACGACGGATTAGGCATGGCTGCGCTATCATGGGTGCTCTTGGGACTCCAAGTCTTGACAGCGTTTGGCAACTATCCCGTTTCGAAGATTTCCGCCATAGGGGTGGACACGTGCGCCATCCTCGAAGATTCTTCTTTAAAATGCTGGGGAAGGAACCTCTTCGGAATCACTGGCGCGGGCTCTTCGGGAACGATTGGGGATGCAGCGAACGAGATGGGGGATTATTTGCCACCTGTTGATCTAGGCACAGGTAGGACAGCCATTGCTGTCGCCACTGGTAGCCACACCAATTGCATTGTCCAGGACAACGGCATGGTGAAGTGCTTCGGTCACACTGATGATGGGCGCTCGGGCCAGCCAGATACGGTGTTGGCCACCATGGGCGTCACCGATTCCAACATCGGGGATGATGACTTCGAGCTTGGCGACAATTTACCTGCCATCAGTCTGGGAACCGGTCGCACGGCCACCGGCGTGTGCGTGGGTCAAGAATTTGGCTGCGCTTTGCTGGACAACGGTGCTGTCAAGTGCTGGGGACTGAATTCTGATGGACAGCTTGGACAAGGCGACGATATGACAAGGGGCACCACAGAGAGCTCTATGGGAGATGGACTTCCGGAGATTGACCTGGGGACTGGCCGGACAGCTGTTCAGCTGCAGTGCGGGAATAGGTTCGCCTGCGCCATCTTAGATGACGTGACCATGAAGTGTTGGGGATCTAACAACCGTCACCAGTGTGGTCAGGGCCACAACAATAACATCGGCGATGAAAGTAACGAGATGGGAGACTATTTGCCAGCCATCGTCTTCGAGTCCGGGAGAACGGTGAAGAGCCTGGGCGTGGGCGTGGGCTATGAACACACATGTGTGATCATGGATGACGACACGGCGAGATGCTGGGGTTATGGATCATCATCTTATGGGCCCTGTGGTTATGGTGATGCGCTGACCCGCGGGACAACACAATACCCAGTGTCGGGCGTGCCGGCAGTGGACCTAGGTGTCGGCCGCACCGCCAAGCAGCTGTCAGGCAGTTACCTCGGAACCTGTGCTCTCCTTGACGATGACTCAGTGAAGTGTTGGGGCTACAACCAAGACTCCCGCTTGGGCTATGGAGATTCGGTGGACCGGGGACACACGATCCATCAGATGGGAGACTACCTGCCGGCCATTAACTTGGGATCCGGGATTACAGCGAAGGCGGTTGCCTTGGCAGGACAAAGTGCGTGCGCCATCCTCAATGATGACACGGTGAAGTGCTGGGGACTTGGTGACATTCTGGGTCTAGAAACCACAGATAAAAAAGGGGACGAAGCGAGTGACATGGGTGACAATCTCCCGAGGGTCTCGCTGGGCACATTGCCGACAACAACAACGAGCGCCACCATGACCCTCACTTCGACGGTGAGCTCTACGGTATCCAGTACAAGTTCAAGCAAAACAATGACCGTCACACACACCAGCACCACTTCATTTTCCACAACAGTGTCAACAACCTCGACCAGAACAGGCACATCTACTTCAACCTCCAGTTCATCAGCCAGCACCACTTCATCTTTCACAGCCACCTCAACAACTTCGACCAGCACGAGCACATCTACTTCAACCTCCAGCTCGTCAACCAGCAGCACGTCTTCCAGTAGCACGAGCACCATCACGTCGACGACGAGCAGCACTACCTCTAGCACGTCGACGACGAGCAGCTCGAGCACTAGCTCATCCGCGACGAGCAGCACGAGTACTAGCACGTCCACAACGAGCAGTACGACCACCAGTACCAGCAGCACTTCTAGCAGTGGTACCTCAACGACGAGCAGCACAGGCAGCCAAACCCACACAAGCAGCTCGTCAACGACGACCTCCTCGTCAACATCGTCTTCGACAGCCACCAGCTCAATGACAACAACTTTGTCCAGCACGTCCTGGAGCACAACCTCAAGTAGCAGCTTCTCAAGTAGCAGCAGCTCAAGTAGCAGCAGCTCAAGTAGCAGCAGCTCAAGTAGCAGCAGCTCAAGTAGCAGCTCCAGCATCAGCTCGACGTCCACCACAGGGACTTCGACATCCACCACCACCGTGACAAGGAGCAGTACAACTCTCACCGGTGCAGAGGAGCTGGCCAAGCAGATAGCGGAGCTGCAGCGGAAAGAGGAGGCTGCAGAAGCCGCTTCGGCAGTGGAGGCCGCAGAGAAGGAGGCCGCACAAATACTGCTGGACACCTGGTCCGTCACAGGGGACAATGCCACTACAGGGATCCTAGGGAACGTGACCATGCAAACGGATAGTGGAACCTTGCAGGTGACCGCTGTAGCTCCGGAGGCGCTGCAAAGAAGCGTGGAAGTGTCCTTGGGAGAGGTGGCCAAAGTGCGCGTGCCAACCGCTGTACTTGCACAGGCAGCACAGGGTGCAGATCGTGGTCAGGCAGAAGGCAGCAACGCATCAGGCATAGTGCTCATCACCTTCATGGTTGTGAAAGATGAGAGAGCCGTGAAGTTCATGGACGCCAAAAACGAGGGCGAGCAGAGGTCCGAGGTTGCGGCACAGACGCTGAGCATCAGCCTACGACGTGACGATGGCTCCGTGGTGCCCGTGCATCGGCTTCCCGAGCCCATCGAGTTCGTGCTCCGGACGAACGAAAACAATGCTTCCTGCGCCTTCTGGGACGAAGAGCTAAGTGCCTGGAGTGCCAGGGGGCTTCGAACCGTCTCCAGCGACACTCCTGGCCAGCTCACCTGTCGAACTAGCCACCTTTCCATCTTCAGCGCAGTGTTGAACACCGTTTGGCAGAATGTTGCGTCGGCAGTCCTCTGCAGCTCTGCGTGGGACATGCTCACCCCGGAAGGCTTCGAGCGACTCCTTGACAGCCATTGGATGACCTCACCCCCAGCCCTCGCCGCCTTTGTCTTCATGTTCTTGTTCTTCATCGTGCTGCTTATCGCTGCCTGCATGGACAGGAGGACGCGGCGAGCGATCCCTTGGGAAATGGTCGCGCCCGTGCTCTTCCGCACGAGCGGAGAGGATCCGGAAGAAGGCTCCGAGGCCGAGGAAGCGACGGAATCGACACCACGGAGGAACTGTTGTCTACGTCAGCTCGCCGAGCTCAAGGATTGGTGCTTCTGGTGTGCGGGTATCTGCTTTGGAGTGGAGAACATTCTGCAAATCATCACCGAGGTTCTGCCCAACGCCCCGGAGGCGGTGGTTAACCGGTGCATCAAGACCGTCCATGCTCATCGCAGCGGCGTTGCGAAGGATAGCTTAGCCATCCTGTTGCAGCCCGGCGAGAAGTTCGATGCTGACGACAGCGAGGACTCTGTTCCTAGGCAGGTCTCCCGGAGCCAGAACCGTCAGAGCCTTTTTGCCGGACTTGCGAGCGTCGCCGTCCCCAAAATGAACAACTTCACTGCGGCAATTCGTGATCTTAATGCCCAATGGAATGTCCACATCCACGGTGCCACTGCGGTGAAAGCAATCCTTGCCCGTTCCTGGGGTGTGCGCGTCTTTGTGCTCTTTCCCGCCTTCCACCCATGGATTGCACTGTTGCGGCTTAGCATTGTAACATCCTACAAGGTCCGTGTCTCTTTGATCTACTTGAAGATCTGCACCGCAGCCTTCGCGAACGCCTTGTTCTTCACCAGTTCTGCCCTGCCGTCGGGCAGTGATCCTGCGTGCGCGCCGAAGGAATTTCTTGCGAGGCTGACCCGCAACCTGACGGTTGGCCTAATTTCTGCATTTCTTGGCGACTGCGCCGTATTCACTCTGTTTCTCCTGCAAATTCGCAAGCCCATCGTGAAGCAGGAGTGGACTGAGAGGTCAATGGCACGGCAAATCGCAGTTTGGCGATGCAGGACTGCTAAATTTCACAGGCTCGGGTTCTCTAATTCCGGAATGGAACTTATGTCTGGTTTGAAAGTTAGTTTAAGACAAACTGCAGCTGAGCGCTAACAGTAGTGTGTGCCCTGTGATTGTTTGAGGTGCGCGCTGCGTAACTCCAAGATCCTATGTGATGTTCCAAGCCAGGGTCCCACCTTCAAAAGCAATTAGTCCCTACCCTAAACCCTAAACCCTAAACCAGTTCGTGTTCCCGTTTTAGATTTGACGTCTGTCGTTCGGTCGACCCCCAGCCAGGTCGCAGCTTCAACAAAAATATCTTTAACGGTAGACTCCGTTTTGAACTTTAGGGGTCGGGCCGGCATGAACAAAAACTGGGCCAGTCCCTGAAGTTGTAACTCGGCCTTATTAAAGTTGATTTTGGAAATGGAGGCGGAATGTAACAATGATATGTATGATGACCGTTGTTGAGCCTAGATTTGGTAGGCCCGAAAATGAATCAGAAAATGTAGGAAAATCAACTTTTAAATACATGGAGGGCGGCCCAGGCCCAAGGATGACAGAGGTAGTGTAAATGACCTGTTTAAATCCGGAAGTTCAAATATCTACTGCCCTCCTTCACTTCAGCCCTCCAAGCCTTTAAGCCCCGCTGCTTTGCCTTCCCGCCCTGCAGCCTTCCAGCTTTCCAGCCCTCCAGCCCTCAAGCCCCAGCCTGCCAGCCTTCCAACCCTCCAGCTTTCCAGCCTTCCATCCAGCCCCAGCCCTGTAGCCTGTCAGCATGCCAGCCTTCCAGCCTGCCAACCCTCCAGCCTTCCAGCCTTCTAGCCTGTCAGCATGCCAGCCTTCCAGCCTTCCAACCCTCCAGCCTTCCAGCCTTCTAGCCTTCCAGCCTTCCATCCAGCCCAGGCCTGTAGCCTGTCAGCATGCCAGCCTTCCCGCCTTCCAACCCTCCAGCCTTCCAGCCTTCTAGCCTTCCAGCCTTCCATCCAGCCCCAGCCCTGTAGCCTGTCAGCATGCCAGCCTTCCAGCCTTCCAACCCTCCAGCCATCCAGCCTTCCCCAGCCCTGCAGCCTGCCAGCCTGCCAGCCTTCCAGGCCCCTCCAGCCCTCCTCCACCCCTTCCAGCCTTCCAGTCGATATCCTCTCCATGTTCTAGGAAGGCTGGAGGGTTGGAGAAGGCTGCAAGGCTGGGTTGGAGGCTGGAACTGGAAGTCTCGGAAAGAATGCAAGCTTGAGGCTGGAGGGCTGGAGGGCGGGAAGGTTGGAGGGGCCGGCAGGCTGGAAGGCTGGAAGGTGGGAAGGCAGGAGGCTGGAGGCGGGGGAAGGAAGGCACAACTTCCCGGATGTTTTAAAGTTGGGCGGCCCAGAGCCACTTCTGTTAGACCTAGTGCAGATGATCTGTTTAAGCTGTTTAAATGTTCGGGTATTTAAAAAATAGGCGCCGTACAACTGGTCTGGTGGGGGCTGCACAATTCTGCAATACTTGCTTCATGTTTGTTGTCTTTGATTTTCCAAGTGCATTGATCAGTGCCCGCATTCCCGATTGTGCCATTTCACAAACCCTAAGTTCCGTTTGAGACAGGAACTTTGTCTCAGAACCCAGACCTATGAAATGTAGCATGCAGGACATTCTTCTTCTGGACGATCTGGCTGCTGTACTCGTCCGTGTGCATGTTGTTTGTCATGATCTTCTTGGCGAACGTGCGACTGGAGGATGCCATCAGCTGGTTACAGAGCACTGGGGTAAGCTTGCTGCAGGACTTGGCCATACTGCCTTTCACCACTGCCGTGGCCATGGGCACGATGGCGTCGCTAGCCCTCTGCAGCCAACGTGTGAAGAACAAGATCGAACGCAGGTGGCTGGAAGGCAAAAACGAGCCACTGCAGGAGTTTTTACCGGAGCCCATGCCGGAGCCCGCCGAAGTCACCGTGGAAGTCCACACTGCAGGCCCGAAGTCTGGCAACCAGGCCAGGGATGGGCCAATCACGTTTGGAGCGTAAACGTTTAAACATTTCTTGGGTTTAAATAGTTCCAACAGAGGTCGGGATTCGGCATGTTTAAACATGTTTTAACGTTTCGGGTTCGCGCGTTTGAGCATGTTTCAAAAGTTCACGGGTGCCGCTTGTTTCAAAATTTGTCTGTGCGGCTGCCTGCAGTAGTTCTTTGTGTTCTCGGACAGCACGCGCGCTACCAGGATCAACTTTCGGTGCATGGATTTCGGGTGTGCTCGGGCACTGCGTTTGACCTGTGGCAACCTGAGAGAATCTTTGAGTGCTCAAGCGATTTAAATGGTCAAATGGTTTTGAACGCTTCAGCATAAAGCGTGTAAACGGTCTAAATACACGTTAAACAGCTTAGACGTTGGAGCAGCACTTCTGAAGGTATGAGAAGCAGGGCGTTTCAAGCGTCTAGACGGTTTAGATGATGAAACGGCTTAATTTAACGTTGAGCAGCACTTCTGAAGGCATGGGAGGCATGATGTTTAAAGCGTTTAAGCGGTTTAATCGTTGACACGGTTTCACGTGTGAAGGCATGGGAGGCAGGATGTTATAAGCGTTGAAACAGTCTAAGCGTTTAAACGGTTTAGGCATTGGAGCAGCACTTCTGAAGGCATGAGAGGCAGGATGTTGTAAGCGTCTACACGGTTTAAACGTTTAAGTGGCTTAAACGTTGGAGCAGCAGCTCTGAAGGCATGAGAGGCCAAGAGGCAGGATGTTTTAAGCGTGGAAGCTGTTTAAGCGCTCAAACGGTTCAAACACTGGAGCAGCACGTGCGAAGGGATCAGCAGGATGTTGAAAAGGTTTGGACGGTTAAAATGTTGAAACGTTTTGAACGTTTGAGCAGCATGTGTTGAGGCATGAGGAGCAAGATGTTGTAAGCGTCTAAACGGTTTAAATGTTTCAGTGGTTTTAACGGTTGAGTTTGTTTATGAACGTTGGTTTGTTTAAACCGTTTGGCGGAAAACGGCGTTTGAATAGTTTAAAAAGTTTAAGTGCTTTAAACGGTTTAAACAATTGCAAATGTGGGGCCAGTTCGTTTGAGCATTCCGGCGTTTAAGCTGTAATGTATACACAGTGCAAAAAACCCTGCCCAACCCTGCTCCAGGCTGAGGAGGTCACGTCTTGGCAACTTCATGCAGTGCTGCCTGGGGTGCCGGATAGTGAGGTCGGGTTTCCAAGAAGACGCAGATCAAGAGCTGATGCATGAGCTCTGGCAGATTGTGTCAGGGTGGCCCCTAAAGGCGTAAATTCCTTGATTAAAATCAAAAGGCAAGCTCAGCCTGGCTCCTGTGCAGCCTTGGCGAATGCTTGAACACACAGGTTGCTATGTACAGGTTCCCGAAGCAAGGATCTACAGGTTGGTGAAGGAACCATCATTGTGATTTGATATTGTACGACACTGTAAGGGTACAGGGTATAGTGACATGTCTACAGCATGTGGAAGTATTTCGCAGCGCTTGGAGACTCAGCCCTCTGCCGTGAAGCCACCGTAACATCGCCAGTTTCCCTGTGTGGCAGTCGCACAGCCGAAGATGCTTCTGGTGACGGCCAGACCTTGTCCTTTCGCCTTCGAGCGCCAGCTGATCTAGCAGGTAGCAGCGGGTAAAGTTTGTTGAGTTAGCGGGGCGCGAAGCTCGGTTTCGAGAAGAAACATGCAACAGAATTTCAGCCAGGTGGTACCCAGGAGATTCCTGAATATATACTTTGATGGGCTTTGAGACAAGTCATCCAGCGCGCGCTTGTTTCTAGGTTCTAAGCCTGGCGACTGCCTGCAGAGAAGTGCTAGTTTATGCCCCGTTGAGCGAGTCTGAGCTCGGATTCTCGCAGGGCTGAGGGTATGGGGTGTGGTAGCGTATAGTACCGCGATTACAACAAGACAGCCCTGTCGAAGAAGACTTGCTCAATGTCGGACTTTAAGGAGCTCACATGCCAGGAGAACTGCTTTCATTCTGCGCCTACCCGAAGGCTTGAAGTGACTAAACCCTGCATTGTCCGAGTGTGAGCGCCGAAACCCGGTATCCTTCTCAAACCCGACATACTCCGTGAAATCCCGAGCCCCTCACAAGGAAGCAATGCGTCTTCAGGGTGTGGGCAGGGCAGTTCGCCATCAGCGTGGTGCTACCAGTCCATGCCAAGAACATAGCAAGGACCGTGCGGTTGTGCCTCCTGGTATTCTTTTTGCCTCCCAATCCGCTGTAGTTTTAAGGAGCTCCGTTCCCAGAAGAACTGCTGTCATTCTGCACCTACCCGAATGAGACACCGCATGAGCACCACAACGCGCCCATGCATTGTAGCCCAACCCTCTGTGGGATGCCTGTCGATCCGGTTATCACCCAGGCGTCCCTTTGATTCTGAGCGCTCGCAAAAATAAGGCTGCCCAAGTCATCAGTCTCATCTCACGGGGCCAAGAGCTCAAACGAGGCCGCGCGGGGACGCATCGCCCAGTGCCTGGGTGAGCTGGAGCGGGCGGATCCTGACCTGTAGCTTGGCACACGAGACGTTAGTAAGTATTGTTCCTAGTAAGCATCGAGGGCTCCTGGGTAGTTCGGAGGCTGGGTCTTGGGCTGTTTTCGGAGTTTCAACTATATCGTTTCTCCGTGTTGGATTCCACGCCGAGGTACGACCTTGCCATGCTCGCGGCGGACGAGGTCGCTGAGAAGACCTTGTTGATCAGTTTGTAATTTATTATAGTCCTTATGTATACGTATGTATATATACATACACGCATCGATACATGTATGTGTATATGTAGATATGTATGTGCACACACACAGACACTTACAGTTGGACGCACACATGTGTATGTATATATATATATATGTATATGTATCTGTGTATATATATATATATTACACATACACATACAGATGCATGTAGATATTATGATTTCTTAGTTGCTTTGCCCGTGGAAAAGTATGTACTCGTAGGCTTCACGGACTACGACCTCTCGGAATGAGCCATGGGGTCACCAAGAGCTTCTGAGGATCATCAACAATTTAGGGTTTAGAGTTTAGAGAGTTTGTTAGTTCTTCTAGCTTGACCCTACTGACAGGTGGCACTGTTTGAGCTGTGAAGCCTCCAGTTCCTTCTCACGCCCGACTTGGTTGACGATGGTGAAGTTTGCTGTTGGGAACGTATCATGCATTGTTTTGAAGAAGCATAGGAAGGTACTCAGTTTTCAGTCAGTGGTGCACGCATGGATGGCGAATGTCGTCAATGCAGCTCTGCTGGGGTAGCTCCACACGAGCGCCGCAAGCTAAGATTTCCCCTCCAAAACGTCAGTTTTTTCTTGGCAGGACGTGGGCGAGTTCATTGCCGCCTCGAGTGCCTCGAGTGGTCTTCCGCACGGCTGGGAGGCGGGACTTCATGGTTGTTGTCCTGGCAGAAGAAGTCAAACCAAGGACGTCCACGAAAGCACGAGAGGCTTTAAGCGCTCAAGTCCGGCACGAGCAGATAAATGCACCTCCCTGGCCGTTCAGAGCATTGTGCTGTCTGAGCAGCTTCATGCACTTGCACGGAGGCACTCTCTGCTGAAGATGGGGCCGCGTACTACCACAACCTTGTCTCAGGCAGGGGAAACCTGCAACGGACACCTCAGCCCTTTAAGGAATGATGGCTGCGAACGCTGCTGAAGAGTTACCGTTGTAGTGGTAACTCTGCATCAATCAGAACGAAGCCGTGTAAAAGCTGCAAGCCAAACAACACTCCAAACAACTGCCCAACTAGGCAGCTGGGAATTCGCCACGCACGGCAAGGCACTACACAGTGGGAGGTGCCGGTGCAGGATGCAGCCGTATGCGCAGGGTGGAGGCTCTTCCAAGCAGATGACGGAGGCCCTGTTGCGGAGTGTTGTGGGTTGGGGTTTGAGGCTGGTCGTGTCAAGGCGGATGTGGTTCGCAGTCGGGGCATAGACGTCGATTTTGATCTGAGTTGACAGGCGCCGAATGGACCTTGACCAGAAGCATGGACTTTTCACGGTCTCTGAAGAGCAGTCGTCAGATGTTCCGATTTGCCACCCTCTCCATTTTGAAAGCACCCGTTCCAAACGACTGCTCACTCGAGTTGGAAAGTTGTAATTCTGCACACATGCTCGCGATCTACAGGGTGGTTCTACCACAATCCCTACGACGGCCACGGCATTTGGTGGCCGGAGCTTCCGACGTATCCGGCAGCCCCTGACTCCCTTGACAGCCTGCGCAAGGAGGGCTGGAGGGTCATGCTGGCTTAGGCTTAGGAATTCTGGGAGACTGCTTTCGGGCCTTTGGGATCTTGTTCCACTCGATCGAGTCGCGATGGACCTGCTTCGCCTGAACTTGCCCGAAGCAGAGAGAAGTGAAACTGTTCGAGCGATGAAACAGTTCCGCAGTTGGAAATGTTGCCGCCAGGACGTCTCAGAGGATTGACTTCTGCGGCAGAATTGCGAAACCAAGGTTGTCGCTTGATGATTTATGCTCTGCTGCGGCAGTGAGATAATGAAGTTGACTCGTGCATGCCGCGGATTGGGTGCTGGCCCGTTTGAACGACAACTCCTTTTCTGCTGTTAAAGCACGAGGCGCATGTTAGTGTCTCACCCAGGAAAATGTGCAGCAGTTGCTGGCCGTTGCTGCATGCCCAGCACGTTGCACCCTCACGAAGATTGGAAGGCATCTCTGTGTCAGGTCTACACCCGGGCTGCTACGCCAAACCTGTCTTGCACTCGGAGTCAAGCACTGTTGATCAAGCTGACTCGCCGAGTCATACTCCTAGGCGGTGGAGCTACCGCGGAGAGGACGAGGTGCATCCTAGGGACGGTGCAAAACCGCTACAAACTTTGTTCTTATTGTTCCAATTTACGGAACGTGTTCCAAACGGCATTGCCCGGACGCCATCTGCCAGGTTTCCCAAGATCTCCTTCAAGTCTGCTTTGAGTTTGCTCAACTATACTCAATCCCTACATAAACCCGAGCCCCTTTAGACCTTGAAGCTTCTTGCCTCGATTGCCGTATTCAGTAGCTTAAATAATTACCAAATACTTTTCCTTGGGGCCTTGGGGTCCCTTGTAACATCTTGTAATACGCTACGCTATATGCCCCGTCGCCAGCGCCTGTATTGCGTGCAGACCCAAACCGTCGCAGCCATTTCCAAAAGTCGAACGTCACTTCGTCACACTGGCAGGTCGTCTTGTGGGCTGATGAGGACATCCTGAGTGGCCGGGAGCTCACGGCTCCGGGCTCAGCATGTGTATTGAAGGAACAAGAGATTCCGACGCTGCATATTGGTAACGAAGAGGGGGGCCGGGCAATCCCATCGCTTAGAGACTGCACTGGGGGAGCCACAATGGCTGGTTCCCGCGCGCAAGAACGCGAAGACGAGCCCACTGCTGTAATTTCAGTCTCGCAGCATCGAAGCGTATTCATGTTCAGGCTTGCTGGGAGGACAAGTGCATATGTGTGACTTATGTGCATGCATTAAGCATGAGAGTTGGTCTGGCTACAGCCTCGTCTGCCGACATGTAAACTTGTAGCCATGCCTTTGAGCCTTCCCTGCTTCCGAAATAATTTGCTCTAAGCCTTTGGCCTTCCCTTGCATGAGAAGGTCGACTTCGGATCAGCCCCGGCACCTTTGGGAGATGCGCGGCCGCCTCCCTCGACGTGTCGCGACCGAAGGAGAGGATGAAGAGGTGCTCCAGGCTGTGTTGCCAAAGCCATCACCTTCAGAACTGAGGTGGCAGCCGCCCCCGCCGAAGTCTGGGGCCTTTAGTAGCGATCGCCGCATTGTGACTTAGATGCGCAGGATGCGCACAGTGCATGTTCTGAAATCGTTTCGCTGGCCATGGCTGCAGCTTGGACCCCTGCCGCATCTGCGGTTGAACATGTGCCAAACCAAGGGCCCCAAATGTTGCCATGCGGATGGAGGTCTACGAAACTCTCTCGAACCGATTGCGTCGAACAGTAAGAACTAAGAAGTCCGAAGTAGCTCTCACATATCTGAAGTGGATGAAGGTTTGAGAGTTTAAGGCTTGAAAAAAAGCCCAGGAGGCCGTGACTCTCTGTCAAGCTGTTTTGGCCCATGGCTCTCCGTCTTGGGCTCGGCCTTGGACTTTTGGCCAGCTTCTGGGAGGCCGAGAAGGGGGGGGGGGACCTGAAGGAGAGGAGTTTTGTTGGGATGTTACAGTGGCTCCTTTTAAGGGGGACTTTGTCCATTAGATTCACTAGATTCTCAAGTCAGGCCGCGTCCCCTTTCCCGGGGCCAATAGATTTGTGAGAAGAGGCAGCCCTGCTACTGCCGCGGAGCTACGGCCCTGCTCATCCGACCCAGGCCAGAGCGGTATGTAGCCACCGGCAGGCTTTCCATCTCGAATTCGGGGAAGTCGGATGATGCCAGCCGAACTACTGTCGAATAAAACTCTTGTTGGAGCAAGTTCACTAACACAGATCCAGGTGTAGTTTCCGTACACGTGTGAATAGATACATAGATGACACAGATACTATACAGAGATTGAAGTGAGGCAGAGGTCAAGCGCTGTCGAAAGGGATGTGCAAAGTTGACATGCCGGATCGTAAAGTCGACAGAGACGAGGGTCCTCTCGATTATACCGAAACGTATTGATAAATTCTATGAGCAATTTTTTTGGTGTTGCTCACCTTGGCTTCCGCGTGGTTGTTCTGCGAGAGACTACACAGGCCAAGCGCCCAGCGTTTGACCGCGCGCAGAAAGAGAAACTCAGCCTTTGCGAATGCGGGCACTTCCACGGCCAGGCGCCCACGCGTCCAGCCCGGCGCTGCCGAGCTGAGAGCGACGTGGAGGAGGTGCGGCCATGGCCGACTCGCGAAGGATTCTGTGATCGGTCCAATGTGGAGCTGGGACCTCCAGAAAGCATCCCAGCAGGGATAGTGGCTGAGCATGGCTGAGCTAAGTTCATGGAAGAGGAGAAGAGAGAATGGAGCGGTAACTCGAGAGTGGTCGCGAGCGGCTTCGCGTACGACAACTCCTCTTCGCAATAGTGCCCCTGTCAGTGCCGATTATTCGCATCGCCTTTGGCTCAAGACCCCGGATCTTGGGGAGTAGGCGTCCCAGAACGCACCCCACAGGCATGGCAATTGTCAAAGCCGAGGACCCGACAAGCGTACCAAAGTCTTGAATTATGTGGGCGACTTCAGTTGTGCAGGAAAGCCAAACATGGGTCACGCCATGTGGGCGGCAAACGGGAGCCTAGCGGCGTAGCAACCATAAGCTGCATGTGGCCGCAAGGAGAAGCCACTGGTTTCGGACCCGTCCACCCTGACCCCAGGGCAGGCCTGTCGCACAGTTGAGCGTTCCATGACTTTTCAGGACTGCTGCTGCCTGCTTGAGCCTTGAGACTAGACAACGGATGCGCCGCACATGCATCAAAGTGAGGTACAAAGTGTTCGGAGTATGTTGGTATCAGCTACCTTCATCTGGGGTGTCTGACAGCAGTACAGGTAGGCATGCTGCAAGTGAGATCGATTGAGGGAAACAAACACAAACACAGACCGAGATCACTCTCTCTCCCCCTTTCTCGCTCTTCCTTTTCAAATTCTCGCAGTGTTGTTGTCAGCATGATGTCTCTTCCTGTGCATGTCGCGGTGCTTGTGCCGTAGCTGTAGCTACCACCGCATTATTTGCTGCTGATCGACATTGATATTGTTTATACGCCTTTGGACTCTCTTCGCTGAACAGGCTCACAACAAAAAGGCCGCACTCTGGAAAGGTCCCCCCTGATCGAAGACAAAGGTTTCAAGTGCTCCCTTTTGCGGGTGACGACACATGCTACCGTAGGTTGCAAGCAGAGCGTTACGCACCACATATCAGGTTACCCTGCGCAAATAGGTCGGAAATAGCACCGTACTGACTCTGCCATCTGCATCGCAAAGTAAACGCCCCAAGCTACATCGCGAGGCGTCGCAGCTGGCAATCTACGAGTCTGACCTGTGGAAGAAGTCCTGCAGGTTGGATCGCTTGTTATTCTGCATATGGGTTTCCCGACGTTTAGGGCTCCCTCTTTGAGGTATCTCTCTTGATCGGGGTCTAGATCCTAAACGGTCTATGTTGGGGTTCCCAATGTTAGGCAGTGTATGATGTCTCTGACAAACTATGATAATGAACTACCAGCTGTTGGATGCTGCTGCAGCTTGTCGTCGTTGGCAGCGACAGCGCGAACAGGAACTCAGCATACCTTTGCAAAGAGATCCACTACAACACCCTGGCGCGGGAGTGGCGCTGTATATGGAGCGAGGAGGATCAGAAGCGTTCTCTCACAGAACTGCAGCGTGTCCTGGAGGACTCCATGGCTGAAAGTTGGGCAGTTGCATGGAGTTTAGGTTGCTTCTGCACTTGAGTCCTCCCACGAAAGCCTAGTGTCCGTTTGGAGGACGTTGCCGTGCCGGCGCTTCGAAGAGTGCCTGGCCTCTTAGGCGTGCAGCGAATTGTCTGTGGATGTAAAAAGGAGTTCAAGATCATATGCATCTTGGCTGCCCTCGCCCGACTTGACCTAGAGATCCGGTAGTAGTGAAAGTTCGAAAAACCCACCCAAAACCCAAAAGCGTAAACCCATCTAAACTCTAGTCTGCGGAACAAGGTAAGCTCGGTCTCGATGCCTTCGAAGACTGGTCCGGCCAGCAGTTCTACCCCGAGGAAGAGACCCTCTTGCGGCACTTGGCAGTCTGCTTTGACGATGTTTAATAGGTATATGAAATATGCTATATAATATAGAGTATATTGTAATATAATATAGTTCTATATAGTGTAGTAAAACAACATAATGCAACATAGTTTGGAGTTTTCGTATTTTGCCAAGCGGGGGCCAACAAATATAGCAAAAAATATAGCATCATATTATATAGTATAACGTAACATACCAGAATATGATGTAACAGAACATGATATGGTAAAATTTACGATGGCAGAATATGATATAGTGTAATGTAGTGTATTTCAAAATAACATATTGCAATAAAATATAAGATAATAGTGTATATATGTCTATAGACACATATATGCATGCTTCTTTGTCGTGCTGTCGGGCTTTGGTGCCATACTTGCAAAAAGTTGCATGTCAGCCCGAGGATGGTCCAGAGGTGGCAAGCTATTGAAGGTGTCAGCAAGATCGAGGTCCAAACATTCAGCTTGGAACCTGTTTTTGGTCCTGGCAAGTGAGGGTACGAAGGACGTAGGCTAGGCTTTTCTTCCGAGAACGCTGCCATGGTGAGAGTCCCGCAAGCATGAACAGCACCTGCTAATACCATGCAGTATGAAGCTGTGTACTCAACACCGTCGAAAGCCTCAGGGTTTTGGAGATACTTGATAACTCAGCCAACTGATTCGTATTTCGCACGGCACGGCGGAGCTTCTCATCCCACATTCACGCCTGTTGCGTTGCCTCCTTAGCTGTGCACTGAGCAATTGACATATGAGCGGCGTGGAGGAAAAGGGTGCTGCCCAGCCTTCGTCATGACTTCGCAGCACCATTGACCACCGAGAGTGAATCGAAGACTCCAAGATTCGAGGCGGCTCTCCTGGCCCGGCTTCGCGCCGCAGGGGACGCTGCAGCTGCCTCCGGCGAGGAATGTGGGGAGTGGAGGGCATTGGGACTGTGGGGGGAGGGGGGGGTCCAGTGCTGACCTAATCTCGTTTGCAGGGTCTGCTGGCCCGTGAGTGTTACCAAGCCGCCGCAGGCCATCCTCTTCAGGAATCGGTTTCAGGGTTTCAAGGATACCTTTGTGTTTTTGGAGGGCCACTGACGACCAGCCCTTATAGGGCCTTGTACAGTAAGTGAGGGCTTTACAGTGCATACTGTACGGCAGGGGAGGGGGATGGGCGCTTTTGCCGAGTCTCTTCTTCGTTCGAGGCCTCCTGGAGGGCAGCGACGGCACCGACACCTCCCAATCCGAACGGGCTGAGGTCTTGATGAGGCGCACACAGCCTTGTCTCGCAGACGCACTCTTTCGGGGTAGCTGTAGCACATGCAGATGGTTCGGGGCTGGTGGTCAACGAGTTTGAGAACAGGGCTTGCTTGGCAGCCGGTACTATCAGGCGGGTTTGTATACAGTGTATGTCACAACACCTCACGAACAAGTATATTGCAGGATCGGCGACACGTACGTGGATGAGGATGTTGCAGACCGTGCTCTCGCATCGTGGTGAAATTGGAGCGGGGTCTGTGGAAATCCGCTGTTGCATGATTACGAGGCTCGTTTCGAGGGATATGCCGCATGATTCCTTACGTCCATGTTTATCGACAGTCGGAAGTTCATAGCCGACTCTTATTCGAGCCGAGCCTTCTGAAAATCCCGCCGGGTGGCCCCTCGTACTACTCCTACCCCCACCCCGACCCCCATACGCCTACTCTCACTCTACTCCTCCTGCAGCTACTGCTACCACTGCGACGACTTCTGCTAGTGCTACTGCCACTGCTGATGCTGCTGCTGATGCTGCTGCTGAAGCTAGTGCAACTGCTACTCCGGCTACTCCGACTACTCTACTACGATGACTACGACGGCCATGGCTACGACTATACTACACACTACATTCTACTGCTACTACTATTACTACTACT